AGTTGTTTACACCTTTGGATGTTGTGAGTAATGCTGTGTGAACGTGAGTATACTAATGTTTCTTTGAGACCCTGCTTTCAGTTCTCCTGGTCATATGCCAGAAGTTAAATTGCTCAATCATAATGATAATTCTATTTTTAACTATTTTGAAGACCACCATATTGTTTTCCATAGCAGCTGCACCGTTTCACACTCCTACCAACAGTGCACAAGGGTTCTAATTTGCCCGCATCTTGCTCACTAACACTTGTCTCATTTGGACATTTTTAGTGCTTTTTGTTTGTTTGGTTGTTTTGTTTTGTTTTTTTTATAAGAGCTATCCTCATGAATGTGAGGTAGAGTCATACATTTTTAAATTAAACCATGACTAGATATTATCCAAAGGATACAGGTATGCTGTTTCGAAGGGACACATGCACCCCAATGTGGTATATATATATACAATGGAGTATTACTTGGCAATCAAAAAGAATGAAATCTTGCCATTTGCAACCACGTGGATGGAACTAGAGGGTATCATGCTAAATGAAATTAGACAGTCAGAGAAAGACAAATAGCATATGCTTCACTCATATGAGCACTTTTTTTTAATCATAATAGTAGCTTTTATTTACTGAGCACTTAACATACACTAAGTGTGTGTCAAGAGAATATTATATTAAATATCATTTATTTTTTTCAGTACACTTCTTTTTTTTTAGTTTTTATTTTTATTTTTTTAACAAATAGTTTATTGTCAGATTGGTTTCCATATAACACCCAGTGCTCATCCCCACAAGTGCCCTCCTCCATGCCCATCTCCCCCTCCGCCCCACATCCATCAGTCCTCAGTTTGTTTCTCAGCATTCAAGAGTCTCTCATGGTTTGCCTCTCTCCCTTTCCCCCACCATTTCCCCCCTTCTTCTCCCCCATGGTCCTCAGTTAAGTTCCTCCTAATCCTCCTATACATGCAAACATGTGATATTTGTCCTTCTCTGCCTGACTTATTTCGCGAAGCATAACACCCTCAAGGTCCATCCATGTTGCTACACATGGCCAGATTTCATTGTTTCTCATTGCCATGTAGTATTCCATGGTTTAGATAAACCACATCTTCTTGATCCATTCATCTGTTGATGGACACTTAGGCTCTTTCCATGTTTTAGCTATTGTTGAGAGTGCTCATATGAGCACTTTAAGATACAAAACAGATGAACATAAGGGAAGAGAAGCAAAAATAATATAAAAACAGGGAGGAGGACAAAAATGTGAGCGACTATTATATATGGAGAACAAACAGAGGGTAACTGGAGGGTTTGTGGGAAGGGGATGGGCTAACTGGATAAGGGACATTGAGGAGTCCACTCTTGAAATCATTGTTGCACTATATGCTAACCAACTTGGATATAAATTTAAAAATTAATTAAAAAATAAAATAAATTTATTAAACTCTGATACAGAGGAAGTTATGAAAAATATCTCGTTTCATTTAGAAATTATGGCAAAAGTCTAAATTTGAAAACTTGTTCCAGTTGACCCTTTTCTCCTTCACTGTACCCCAAATGATAGGTCTTGAGTAAAGCTTATCACAGATTAAGAAGTTGACTGAGGGGCGCCTGGGTGGCTTAGTCGGTTAAGCACCCGACTTTTGCTCAGGTCATGATCTCGCGGTTCGTGGGTTCGAGCCCCGCGTCGGGCTCTGTGCTGACTGCCAGCTCAGAGCCTGGAGCTTGTTTCAGTCTGTGACTCCCTCTCTCTCTGACCCTCCCCTGCTCACGCTCTTTCTCTCTCTCTCTCCTAGAAATAAATAAAACATTTAAAAAAATGTATTATAATTTTTGTATTTTTTAAGATGAGTAAACACTAAGATGAAGAATTTGGATTATCTGTTTAAGAAAAATACATGTTTTGTGGAATTTTAAGTTTTGTATAGAAAGAGTGATAGAGTTGTGATACAATAAAACTCTGTTATAAAATCATTCTCTCCCTTCTTCCAGAAGAGATATGAGGTTGAAGACTCAAAGATAGAGGTATAAAATTGCAGTGAACAGGACAAGTAAATTCAGGGTGAGGGAAAAGTGGACCCAGATATGAGGCTGTAATATTAATTGCACTTAGTGCACATTTCCTCAGAGTGGACTGCAAATGAATCTCTGAGTTTTCTAACAGCCAGCTCAAAAAGCAATAGCCTTCTGGTCAAAGCTTCGCGATGGCTATGAGATCCATTATGTAAATAAGTATTGTGAAAGAATAGGACTATGTTTTTGTTTTCCCCAAAGAAACAGCCTCATTTTGTTTTTATTCTTTAAACAATACATATTTCTTTAGGCATCTGGGTGGCTCTGTCAGTTAAGTGTCTGACTTTGGCTCAGGTCATGATCTCAGTTTGTGGGTTTGAGCTCTGCATTGGGCTCTGTGCTGACAGCTCAGAGCCTGGAGCCTGCTTTGGATTTTGTGTCTCCCTCTCTCTGTGCCCCATCTCCACTCGTGCTCTGTCTCTCAAAAATAAATAAACATAGAAACATTTTTTTTTAAAAATTCAATCAGTAAAGAAAGTACAAAATCTTATGTTAATTGCCCCTGCTAGAGATAATTTTTGGCCACACTCTTAGCTTCTCAGTAATCCAGAGATGAAAACAGTTGGTAACACAGTTCATAGTGGCTAATTTACATTCCCAACAGTATAAGAACTTCTTAATTTTCCTGCACCCTCTGTAACACTGGGTCTCTCTGTTGGTAATCTTTCTTAGTCCTATAAGAGAAAAATGATATTTGTTATTTTTCTATTATTCTTAGTACTGAAATCTAATGCTACTTCTACCATAGCTTTTATAGACTTTCTGCAACATAAATAACAAGTATCCCTGACAACATGTTTTGATAGATTTGATATGTTTCCTTCTGAAGTATTTTTTACAGTAGCACTGTACCAGATTTTTAATTTGGTAACCATGTTTCTGGGGCCAATATGATATGATCTGGTATTCACTGTCTTTGTTGATTTAGATTTATCCAGGAGTATATTTGTAAAGACTGCTAACTTTCCACCAAAATCCACCTTCTACTTCTCCTTGACACACAGCTAGGAGTTTCCTTTAAAATCAGGCGTGACTCTATGACCAGGTTTTCTGTAGTGCCTTGTAACTGGAAATGATGTGAGTCATTTCCTGGCCTAACTGGTAAAAATCTCCCTTTGTTTCTCAGTGTTCTTTCTTCTTTCTCCCTGAATGAAATGGCAGTGAAACCCTGGAAGTCAACTGTTGAAGATGACTGAATAGCCTTCAGTCTGAATCCTCAAATGACTGTGTGGGAAGAGCTGGCCTACCTGAGCACCCACCCAGGACTCTTACATAAGAAAGAAACATATTTCTCATTTAAGCTACTTAATTTTTAGATTCCATTTGCTACCACAGCTTAGCCTACCCTAACTAACTAATAGAATATTTTAGAAAATATATAATATATATATATTGAACAGAAAAATATATAATTGAACAGAAATTGAATTAGATGCAACTGCTCAATATCATGAGGATGTGTTTTATCTATCACACAACTCTACCTACCTCCAAATTAGTTTCATTCATAGATAGGTTTCCTCCACAATGTAGAATTGATGGCCCCAGCAGTTTGAGATCTATCTGGTCTTTATAACTTATGATCTTAGATCTTTCTTGGATGCTTCAGCAAAATTTGTAGGGAAATGCTGATTGGCCGAGCTGGCATCATATGCCCGTCCCTCATATAGTTTTTATGGTTAAAGATTTGTAATACTATGGCCAAATTTAGTTTACATTCCTACCTCCAAATGCAGGGGTTATAGCCTCCCCCTCAGGCCCAACACAACCTGCCAATCTCAATGCACAGAGAAGGATCACAAGGAATGGTTCCCCAAAAAAAGGATTTCTACACAAAAAGACATCAGAATACAGTATGGTTACAAAGGTTTTTCAGTTAATATAAACATGAAATAAGAGGGGCCTGGATGAGAGTGGTGGTGCAAACATTAAAATAAAAGGAGCAAATCAAAGTATTTTTTTTAGTGTTGAAAAGTTGGCACTGTTGGGGAGGGAACTAGTGGTAAAGTCAATTTATATTTAAAAAAAATAGTTTTAAAACTTTTCACATGTGGCTGACAACTCCTCCAGCCGGCAGCTGCTGCTTGGGTGCAGAGGTGAGTGAGCTGTGAGCCTAGCTGGCACGCATGGAGCCTTGGCCCTGGCTTTGCATCCCAGATGCAGTGTGAGTGCTGAGTCGCCCCTGCTGGGATGGCAGTGAAGTTTTTCCTGGGCCAGAGCATGCCCCAGAGTCCCTGGTACAAGTGTCCATGGCCTTGTGGCAACAGTACCCAAATCCCTGTAGCAAACGTGTCTTGACAGAAGACACAGTGCACCTGGAGGTGACCCCTGAACAGAAGCTCCTATCCTAGCATCTCCTGATGGAGACCAACAGAGTGCCCCTCTGGGTGCAGCAAATGTTTCCTACCAATGTTGTTCACTCAGTGTACATCCTAGAGGATTCTCTTGTGGAATAGCAGAACCAGACCACAACCATGCCCAGCGGAGGAACTATGTATTTACTGTGTGAATTCTGATAAAAGCGACTGGACCAAAATCTATGGGGAAGCTTGGGTCTCTGTCTGATTTGCTATCCCTAGAACTGTCCACAGTCCTTCCCCTTTTCTTCTTTTGCCAGAAATTTGGCCTTGCTCAGTTCTAGAGGAGTGTGGCTAAGATTGTGAAGGGCTTTGAATAGGGCTTAGCTGCGCTGCACAGTGAGACCCCTTCCAAAACCCTTGGTGAGAGAGCCACAGAAGCCAAGGAGGAACCAAAAGAGAGAAGCTGCACAGGCAGCTACAGAGAGGTCCAAGGACCTTGCCAGCAACACAGTCACCGGACAGCAGCAGTTTGTGTGGCTAGCCCAGGCCCTGGTGCAGTAGGACACCTGACCATCTGGCACAAATGCCAGGGCCACTTATACTTTTTTTTTTAAGTTTATTTATTTATTTTGAGAGAGAGCACATGTACACAGGTATGTTTGTGTGAGTGGGGAAGGGGCAGAGAGAGGGGGAATAAAAGAAACCCAAGCTGTCCCATGCTGTCGGTGCAGAGCCCAGCGCAGGACTCCATCCCAGGAATGGTGAGATCATGACCCAAGGCCAAATCAAGAGTCAGATGCTTAACTGACTGAGCCACCAAGTGCCCCACCATGTGCTTTATTAAAAGTCAACTTCCAGGGAAACTGAGTGGCTCAGTCAGTTAAGTGTCTGACTCTTGATCTCTGCTCAGGCTATGATCTTACGGTTCATGAGATCAAGCGCCATGTAGGGCTCTGTACTAACAGCATGAAGCTGCCTTGGGATCCTCTCTCTCCCTCTCTCTCTCTCTGCCCCTCCTCTGTTTGCATTCTTTCTTTCTCAAAATAAATAAATAAACTTTTAAAAAAAAGGAAAAAAAGTTAAATTCCAAGATTTTTTCTCATTTGTGTTATAAATCATATTTGTCAACCTAACCATAAAAATGTTGTGTTAAGTATATTCATATTGTAAAAACAACTGAAATTTTTAAACTAGGAAATGACTAAAATGATAGTACTATTAAAGGATTTCAGAGATTTGAAATGAAAAGCAGTGGAGGATAGAGAGAGATAGATATCATAACTACTGATGAAACAGGCAAGATCATAGTTTTTCAGAGTCTTGGGGAGTCAATAAAATAGTGCTGGGCAGATGATTTGCAAGGTAGCAATACAGTTAAAAGTGAGGAGAAGGTCATACACCTGGGCACTGGACATCAGCGTTAGACCACAGACAGGTCTCAGAGTACAGGAATATGGTCTGTCTTTCTACCACAAATAGCCTCTGTCTAGGCAGGTAATAACAGTTTGTTATAATATTTATGAGCAGTGATGGTCTTTCCTTGCCATAAAAAATTGGACTCAAATTAGGATTTGAGGGGCAGTTTCTAGAACTAAGATGCAAGGCACAGACCAAGGGACAAAGACACTTTGCTGCTTGATTGGTACCAGCAACAAAAGTGACTTCATGATGACCCATTTGTTTGAGAAATCTTACATGTGTCTCCTGCTTCAGCACAAAATTTCCTCAAATGGTAACTTACAGAACTTACCATAAAGATAGGACTTTAAGGATTAGATACTAAGGACACATTACAGGAAGATATAAAACTCTTTAAATAAAAGTTCATGATTAGCACTCTTTAAGTGATTAGAGTTATAGATGTTGTCCTCGTAGTTTTCATCATAGAGATAAAAGTCAAAATAATGGGAGTTGTTCCCTCCTGTATCACTGGTGTAACTTTAATGAGCCAACGCAAAATAGAGGTGGACCTTGTCATTATCAACAAATATTTGAGTGTTCCCCTGTGTGTAGGGCAAGATCCAAATTCCATAGAACAAGGCAGATGTTTATCAACTCTGAAGAGGGCGAGAAATATTTGCAGCTTTGCTTTGTATTAGCATTCTATTCCTTTATTTGCCTTGGAAGCCACAGTGAAAGTCTTAATGTTTCTATATGTTTTAGTATTACAACAAGTTTCCAACCTACAAATTTCTTGAATTCCAAAAGTTCTATGTAAGCAGCTTGTTTAAATTCAGCACACTTTCCTTTGAAATCATGTTGTAAATGGTAGTTCAGTTTCCATAATAATTCACATCCCTTTTAATCCACAGTTCTTGTGAATTGCTGCACGTTAGCAAAAAAAACATACTGGTTAGCAATGGAATCAAAAGAGATGCAATAACTCAACAGGTTTTTAAAAGGAGAGATGGAGATAAAATATGTATACATATGAGGAAAAAGTTGTTTTCAAGTGGACTTCACTCAGCTGAAAATTTTTTTCAAGTAGGTGTAATAAAAGGCAGAAGAAAAGGAGAACTCAAATTATTCATTAGTCTTCCTGACAGAAAGAAGCAGATGCTATTTCAGATTATTCCAATCCCTTTGTAGCCAGTTGGTGGTGCTATTGCCACACAATAGTTGGGTTGCTCTTAGTTCTCAAGACAATGGGAGAAGTATAAGTCAAGAGGTTGTAAAGTGAGTTGTTAAAGGAAGCAGGAAAAAATAAGGGAGGCAGTATGAAATTGGTTATATGTGGATATCGACACATCAGGTTTTATGGCATAAGAGGTGACTCTCCTTTTCTCATCCATAATATTTTCTTTGAGCTTTAGTTTACTCAGTGATAAAAATAAAGATGGTTGTGAGAATTAAGAAAATAAGTGTCTAATAAATGCCATACACATAATTGTTGCTCAATAAATATGATTCTCTTGTTCTCTTAAATGAGTCAGATACAATTAATAAACTACAGTATCATAATGTTATTGATATATTACAAAATTAGACTAAAATAAGGGTTCCTGAGTAGTTCAGTCAGTTAAGGGTTCAACTCTTGATTTTGGCTCAGGTCATGATCTCATGGATTTGTGAATTGGAGCTCTGAGCTGACAGCATGGAGCCTGCTTGGGATTCTCTCTCTCTCTCTCTCTCTCTCTCTCTCTCTCTCTCTCTCTCCTCCTCCCCTGCTTGTCTCTATCTCTCTCTCAAAATAAATAAAAATAAACTTTAAAAAATAAACTAAAATATGTGATCTCTGGGATCTTATAAAGAAGTAGGAAAGATGTTTTGTCATTTATTACTAAAAATAAAAAAAAAATTTTAAGACTGATTATTTGATTATTTTGTAGATAAATATCCTGATGTGCATCTACCAAGTCCACCCTTGAGTAGATGTAGTTTACTTTTCTGCACAGTATATTTGGAGTTACCCATCTTAAAGTAAGATTACCATTTTGCAGATCTTCATTATTTGTGACTATAGTCTTAACCTTTTTGAACATTAGTGGAAAATAAGACATAGGTAGGGAACAATAGCAGGATGAATGCTCTTTATTGCAACCTTCACAAGCCAAATAGGTCCAACCTTTACTTTTATGCTTCTATAGCCTTCCTTTTGGTGAAGTCACAATTTATTAATTTGCCTTTCTGCCAGAGAACTGAAGCAGAGAATGTAGGTAAAATTTATGTCATCCAGTTTTATTAGTTATTAGCCAAGGTAAAGTTTTATTGTAGAGAAAGTTAAAACTAATGACTAAAATAATGGGATACTATAAATAAATTGCTATTACTAGAATTTATTTATATTTCCCCTTCCTGACTCTCTTTATTGCTCAGGTTGGCCTTAGACTACCTCAGTTTCTTCCCCTTGACTGAATCCTCTAGGTTTGAAGGGCTGAAGGAAGTAGTTGAGAATGCATATCCAGTCAAGGCCTGCTTCCTCGAGGACCTGTGAATCCAAGAATTTGTTTCTCTATCTTTTCTATACAGGCATTTTTATCTCTTCCTAAAGACTTCTTGCTCCGAAGTGAGAGAGTGATTTCTCGGTGAACTCTTCCTGTCTATACACTGGAAGCAGACCTTAAGTCATGCTCTAGCCTTAAATCATAGCTCCACATGTGAAGTAGTCCTTGTATTTCCTTGGGCTGTGGAATTGCAGGCAAAATCCTGCATTGTCTTCCACCTGATTACTCAGGAGTTTGTGACAGATTGTTGGATAACTATTTGACAGGTAGGGGTAGAGAAAGAAGCAAAATACATGATGGTCTTTCTGCCATTCATAAGGTCTTGATTTTGTTTAGGGAAGCAGTATATATTCTCAAATGCATTTCACAGTCTCAAAAGTGTGATACTGAGTCTGAATGCACGACTTTCACTGGGCTCCTTGGAGCGCCAGGAGTGTGAGTAGGTTGCCTTCAAGAAAGGCAAGGGAGACAAGGACCCCTGCCTCAACTATAGAAGCTCCACTTTGAACAGTTTCATAATTTTGGCCTCTATTGAAGATATTTTTAAAGAAAAGAGTTTGAAAATTATTGACCCCTCAACCTCTGATATAGTTCCTGTCAAGCTGATGAATGTCATAGTTCATTAGCTGATTATATTATTTCTTTCTATATCAAAATAGATTTCTATTCATTAATGATAAGTAGTGCCTAATGGTAACTAAATTAAACAGATTAATGAAGGGTATTACTAATTTCATGGGTTAGTAAATAAGTATACATTGTTTAAATTAAGACAAATGTACCACAAAATGTACTCTATTTTCACTGAATTAGCCCTATTTGAAACTGTCATATAGTCTGTGAATTAGTATCATTAGCTAATAGTGCAATCCTTGTCTCTTTTATGATCTTTGATAAAATGACCAAGTACTACCCAATTTCTATAAAACTATTTGGATGTAGAAATCAAATAATCAGTCATATCTCTAACATTTCAAATATGAAAATAAAGTTTGAGGTAGGCCCAAGCTTTACAAGTGGCATAATTTTCTAATTCTTTAAATTCTATTAATATTTGCCACTGTTTGCTTATTCCTTCAGTTTCTCTCTCTGTTTTTGTTTTAATGTTTATTTATTTTTGAGAGACAGAGACAGCATGAGTGGGGGAGGGTCAGAGAGAGAGACACACAGACTCTAAAGCAGTCTCCAGGCTCTGAGCTGGCAGCACAGAGTCTGATGCGAGGCTCAAACTCATGGACCATGAGATCATGACCTGAGCCGAAGTCAAAGGCTTAACCGACTGAGCCACCCAGGTGCCCCTCTTTACCTCCCTACTGATATCCCCATTTGTTCAAGTTAGACTCTCAAAGTGAAAATCAAATACAGTACTTAATTATATTGGTTTATACTATACTTGAATGTGTGCTAATTTTGAGAGGAGAAAATATTATTCCTTTTTATATTAAGGATGTACCAGATTGGAATTTGCTTACTTTGTATAGTGATTGTCACTAAAAATAAAATGAAGAGTTTTCAGTCATAAATTTCCTCACTGGACTTTTTAAAACCTGGAATTTCCATATGATATATCTTTTTTTTTTTTTTTTTAAGAGAGACCGTGAGCAGGGTAGGGAAAGAGAGAGGGAGACACAGAATCTGAAGCTGACTCCAGGCCCTGAGTTGTCAGCACAGTGCCTGATGCAGGGCTTGAACATATGAACCATGAGATC